CTTTAATTTTAGTTAATAATTAAATGATAAAGATCACAAAACACCCAGTTAAAGATTAAACTTGAAGGGTTTCAATAATGAAACCAGTTGTTTTGCCACCAGGAGACACTGTTTTAGTGCAAGGAAAACCTTTACATACAGTATACTGGTAAATAAAGAGTAACCATTCATTTTCTGCTCAGAACTGCAAGTCTTTTTTCTGTATCATTAGTACTTTTATCAAAAGAAAAGGACTCCCAGAGTTTGATTGTAATGAGATTGGGGCTTGCACATTGTGGAAACACCACCTTGTATGCCCCAACAGATCAACATTGTTGACAGCTGAGAGCAGTAATATTGAAACTTTGATCACGCAGTGAGAAGTGCACCTGTGAATTGTAGTCTTGCTGTCAGGAAATGCTTTGATACAAAGTCTGGACTGGCTGACTACTGCTCTCATAGTCCATTCAATAACTACAATGCTTTGTTTTTCATCTTCACTGAAAATGCTGCTCACTGCTAATTCACTTTCATGGCTGCATGTGAAATGTAAGGCAATTTAGTACATTTGCTCTCTTATTTTAAACTTTATTAGTCTGCTTACAGTTCTTGACTGTTTTTTTTTTAACTTAAAAGTATTAGAAGATTCTGCTGTTGTGATTAGTGCTGCTTCACAGCCCTCTGTATGGGGTTTGTATATTCTCCCCTGGGTCAGTGTGGCTCTTCTGTCGTTGGTTTGATTTCATCCCGTAGTCTAAAGACATCTTATCCAGGTTAATTGGGATCACCAAATTGCCTTACAATGTGCAAGTACTGAATGTACTGTAAATATGCTCTGCAATGGACTGGAGTCTCTTCTAGGGTGTAATCACACCTTGTTCCCTGTGCCTGCTGGATTAGGCTCCAGCTCATCACAGGCTTCTAAGGATAAGAACTGATGGACAAATGCTTTTTGCAAGCGTCTGCTACCAGGGGTAGGCAACATTGGTTTATCTAAGGAACAAGAAATCCGGTTTATTCCATGCTGAAAAGAGAAGAAAGAAAACTTCTTTGGGTGAAGAAGGCAGCTCCAAAGCCGAAACACTGTGTTTTCTTTCTTCTCTTTTCAGCATGGAATAAACCTATTACTTGTTCCTTTGCAGCCTACGCATGCTGACGCAACTACCCACCTGAACTATTGTTTTTTCTAGACAATACCATTACAAACCTTCTATCTACCAAACACTTGGAATACTGAATTGATGTTTGATTTATTTAATTGGCCCATGTGCAGTAGATCATGCCGTTTAATTATGGTATACCTGGAAAATGACATGTTAAATTGAAGAGCTAAAGTTGCCACAGTTGATTGAGTGTAATTCGTACTGAGCGCCACCAGGTGGCGACTTAATTTTATAAATGTGCCTTATTCAGCTGTATGCTGTGCAATAATAGTAATAACGATTAGAACGATTGTAAGTGATTGCATTAAGATGTAATCAACTAAGTATTTTAATTCAGTTATTTAAGTTGGTATAATACATGGACTGTATGTAATGTCATTAGGTCTGCCAAGTACCATTTTTGCAATTATTTTTTAGAATGTAATTTCTCAAAATGGTTTTCAGAAGCATCTTATTTTCCAGAAAATAATTGTTAGTCTTTGTAAGTGTGTGTATGATTCATGCTTGTATTCCACAATTGTACACTAATGAATATTAAAAACTGTAGTTTTTTAATAAAAGAGACAAGTTTCATTACTTGTCTCCCAAGATAATAATACATTAATGAAACGGTGCCTTCAGCTTCATAGTTTGTCTTGGAATCTGCTTGCCTGCTGGCCTGACATGATAGAATACAAATCTCAAACATGCTCCAGTTCAATCAATCAGTCAATCAGTCAATCAATCAGTTTATTTATCAAATGCACAACAATACAGCGTGCAGCAGTGATTGCTGGCAATGAAATGTCTTTTCTGTGAGCTCACTGGGGAATATGCCAAAAAATTAAAGTTACAAAATAAAGTTACATAATACATAATAGTGATCAATGTCTGGTGATTAATGAAGGCACAGAGCGAAGAGTTAAGGATGAGATGGCGACCTGTGTGAATAGATCCAAGTGAAGAGCAACTGGAAAGGAAGAGGACTGTACAGTGTTTCTCGAAAGGGGATCAAGGTGTAGATCCAGGATTCATGCAGGGTGACAGGAAGATGATGACAGACCACTTAAATTGCACAAAACAAAAGTGACATACAGGCAGTGTGCTGACACGGGGACAGTGGTGTGTAGTTCTACAGTTATTGTGAAACGATAGTAGTGGGAGTAAGGGGAAAAGGTAAGAGCACTTTAAACAGAAGACGATCACAGATGAGTGTGGAGGAGGCCCTGTAAGGTGGTCAGGGACTGTGTAGTTCTGACCTCTATATGCAAGTCATGCCCCCAGAGAAGGGTAGTATTAAAGGACGGGGCTTTAGAAGAGGTACTGTACCGTGAAGGGAGGCTAGTCAATGAGATAAGTGAATAATTTACATGTAATTGAAAGATTTTTAGGATTTCTGATACATTGACTCGTATCTCTTTTTGAACTAGTCTTTTTTTAGCAGCGTTAATGGACGGCCATAGACAGGGTATATGAAACTCTTAATTGCTCATAAAAAGAGCACGATAAAGCATGATAAACTGAGGTAAGTGCATTGAGTATGCAGTCCACCTGGTTTTATAGAATTTATTAGGATTCCTAGGATGAGTGAAAGCAGAGAAACATATAGTAATCTTGCCCATTTAAGTGAAATATTGGTTCAAATAAGGTAATTAAGTCCAGGATGGAATGAGAATCAGACGACACTGAGTCCCAGTAGGAGATATTTGGCCAGATGGGTCAAATGGCCTCCTCTCATTTGAAACCTTTCTTTGGAATCTCTGGCTTTTTAGACCTTTTGTAGACATGTTGGAAGTAAATTATTTGTGCTGTGCATCCATCATCATTTGGAAAATCTGATTAACCAGTGGAATTTAATAACTTCACGTCTGAGTAAAATGCTTGTTGTTGTGTAATATTGGGGTCATTTGTGCATCAAACTGTAGCTTTTTGTTTTACAGTTTTGCTTGATTCATTCTGTTGCTAAGGGAACCAGCTCTTTCAGTGTTTGTGGGCTAGATCTGGAGCTGATGTCATGAGAGCACTGGCGTTTTCAAACTTCTAACAATAGGGGCTTTTCAGGAGGAGACATTTCCTTGATGTATAACGTTTACAAAAAGTAAACTGCAATCTGCGTTGCAGTCAGTCAGTTTGAAAAAGATTTTTGGGTACGTTTTCCATCTGGCCTATGTGTGTGTCCAACAAATGGTGACATACATTTGATGCTCACAGGTCTTCGATCATGTTGATGGGTTCCTGCAATCTATAAACAAAAGCATAACTGGCAGGATATTTGGGATGCAATATAAAGGCTGTAAAACTTGGAAAGACTTAAAAAGTTAAATGCTAATCATATTATAATCCACATTGGGCAGTACTTGGACTTGTGTTTTCTGCAAGTAAACAGATCTTGGCTGTTCTTTATTTAATGGACCACACAACCTACAAATATCTTGAAATCAAGTATAAAACATCGTCTTGTATAAAACTTGTCTGATGTAGTTTGACGCATTTAGTGAATTTTGTTCAATCCCAGTGCCAAACAGTTTGTTTTGCAGCACTACATTAAAATCGAGCTTAAAAGCTTCATCTATGCAAAACCTTTTTTTGTAATTTGTATGTCTTTATTCTAGATAACGATGAATATAGACCACCTGTGTGGAAGTCTTACTGTAAGTATCGCTTAATTTAATTTCATGGTTTTGTTATTAATGTTTTTCATTGTAAAGTAATGTGCATGGCAGTGTTTGAGGAGGAGGAGTTGTGTTCTGAACTCTGTTCAGAGAGTTTTTCTTCTGTACTTGAGAGCACAGAAGAAAAGCTCCTGGCTCAATTACTGACCGTGTTATCCTTTTTGTACGGCAGTGTACCAGTTGCAGCAAGAGGCACCGCATCCCAGGCGGGTCACGTGCACCTGTGAGGTGAGTTTGTGAGGAGTATGGCCACTGGTCCAATTATTCAGCTTTCAGCCCTGTTCTGAGCTTTATGTGTACAGTAAGAGTGCTGTTGCCAGTCACTCACCTCCTGACTCCTCTTCTGTCTGTATAAACCTGAAAGATTAGGCAGGCTGAGTCCACCTCTTGAATCCCACAATGCATTGGAATAATTCAGCTGCCATTTATCATTGTACCATGTTCCCACCCTCCCCCCTCCCTTTTTGGCCCATACATTTAAAGGGTCTTCTTGTCATTATCATCTCCCCACAAAATAAGACACATCAGTCAAACTAGGACCTCTCATGATCCTAGTGTTTCACTGTGGATTAGTAGATTGTTGGCATGACAGTAGCCTCAGCAGAGGAACAAGATGTACAGCTGGGGTTGCTCTTGCCTTTTTAAAAAATAAAAAATAGAAGCGAAAATGGAGGATCTTTTTTCTTAGTGTCTGTTGTAATTGTAATGCTCTAGGCAGCTTTCAAAGTGGACTCGAAGCTGTGTTGCTTTTGCTTTTGCTAGTGCGCTGTCAGCATGCCTCAGCCTCTCACAGTAGAGCCCACACACTGCAGGAAAAGAGCAGATCTATCTCTCGGCCTGCTGAAGCTTCAGCTTCTCGTTTTGCAAATGTCTCCAAAGGGGCCCAGACTGTACATAATGGCCTCCACTGAGGATTCATTTGAGAGCAACAAACTTGCTGCACTTGTCACTTGAGCTGGTTGTGAACCACCGTAATTCAAGGGTGAATAGCTTGAAAGGATGGCAAATTACTCCACCTCATTTTATAAACTCTGCTCATGTGGTTTAGGGCTTAAGACCATGAAACCCCCACTTGTGGAATGTTTATGCTTCCAAAACCTTGTGGATCCAATACATTATTTTTTTTTTAATTACACTACCAATACCAATGCCAATGCATTTTAGAAGCCTAATAAATGCGATACCTATTTTCCTTCTAATTGGCACTTTTTAATGCAAGTTGTCTTAATCAGTGATATTTTTTGTACTCTAACATACATTTGATCAATACTAGAGACCTGGCTGAGCCGCAACGAGAATGTACTTATGGTAGAGGATTATCCCTCAGGTTTTGCCTCCCAACAGAAGTTCTGCTCAACAGAGCGAGGAAGAAGCTTGCAGGAGCTGATTTGAAATAATCAGAGGATCAAACAGGACTCTTCATTTGAGATTTTACCGCCTGCTGTCTCTAGTGCACCACCAGTATGTTTCATTATAATCTATGGACCTCCAGACCCTCTCATCTTTTCTTTCTGAAATCAGTGGTCTCTATCAGCATAACTCCTTAAACATGACGTCTTTTTCCATGTCCTGTGTAGAGGCCCTTAGTATGAATGCTGACATGAGTCATGATTCTCATGCTTTAACTCTCCAATCACTGTTAGTGAGATTTATGCAAAATGTTATAGGCCATACTACCCACTCCTACCCTGGACTTGATAATTTCCCCTGGTTTTGATATGCAGAATGTTTTAATTGCAGGTTTAACCCTGTTCTATAATTATGCTGTTCTTTCTGAGTAATGAGTACGTGCTTCTATGAGGCACACTGCTCATTATATTAATAGTTGGTCTTGAAATTTATCAACAAATAAAATGTTCTTAGAAACTTTGTTTGCTTCTGTTGTTTCGAACCAGTTAATGTTAAATGTGGGTTGATAATTGCATTGATACTCTTACTCGTGCTTTGGGCTTGGTAGTGTAATTCATTAAAAAAATCTCTTCTAAAAGACTCTTCTTAATGAAAACATAACGTGATTTACATGTCTTTGTCACATTTGGTGTTTCACATTACAAGTACGTTATCTTGCGTAGATGATTAATGTTCAAAAGTTAAAGGGTATTTTTTTCAGAATGATCTGCAGCAAAATACTCAAAAAGCAAAATATAAGTTTTATCAACAGTGACTTGAATATCTCAGCTTTACTTTTGATTTAATGAAATTTTGCAATCTGATATTCACACTATGAATATGTTATGTTTAAGACAACTTATAGTTGTCTTAAAGATGATGTGTTTACAAATGGGAGTATGTAGAACAAAAACAGATATTACAAAGTTTAAACAAAAAATATTATTCATTTTCTGAGGTAATTCTGCTGGATCTCCTGTAGTTCTGAACACCTTCATGCATTTTAGAAATTGATCCTTGAGGTGTACTGTAATTATTAAAGCAGTGGTTAAAGAGAGCTGTGACCATTTCCAGACAACAATGAACCATTAACTTTAAAGTATTATATCCTGCTGTTGTAAAATATACATTTTTAGGTTTGTTTCCAGCTTCCCATACCTATTTTAGGGAAGCTGGTTTTGAATCAGTTTGAAATACATAATATAGAAAAGTTAGCAGATCGTTTTTTATGTTTAAATAATTAATTAGGTAAACTCTTAGCTAAAAGGAAGGTCCTGATACAAGTTTACTTAGCAAGCAAATTAATAAAAGTGAATATCATGGTTGATTATCAGGAATACCTGGTGACGTGCCTTCTTTCTTCCTCAGTGTGGTTTCAGCAAATAAACGAGCAACAACTTAAAAAAAAACTGTTTGCAGACGTTTACAGAATTTAAAGGAATTCTGCCTTTCATGGAGGCAACTTACCTGGTCTCTCAAAGAAATGTGGTCCCCAGATCCATAAGACAAGTGCACAAGCGAGATGGGAAAAGTTGTTTCCAATGATTATTGATTTGTGTGAAATTGTAAGCATGTAAAAACATTTTAGTATGCATATTTTCATGAGGTAATAATGCTAATTATGCATAACATTGTTAATGTTTTAATAATAAACAAAGTTTAAGAATCTGAAATGTGCAGCCTTCTCTACAAATTCCTAGTTAAATACTAGGTTACTAAAGTTGTACTTTTGTATATACTCATTAGTAGATGTTTATTCTATAAGTGGTTTTGTCTGTGTTGCTTGTTGGCATGGTGCGCTTTTGTCAGAATGTAGAGAAATAAACCCTAACTAACCCTATGACGAACAGGAAGAAAACTCTGTATACTAAATTATGTACCAAGATTTGAAGTAAGTCCCAAGTTTCTTTTGCCTGGTGGGTACCACACAAATGAAATAAATATTCCCATTACTTGTGTAAAAACACAGCCCCTCTTCCTAAATTTAAGGTTAGTCTCTTCAGTT